AATGGGGGCACTGAACTCCTATGAGTTTCATTTTTGTAACTGGTGCCAACAAAGACCCTCATAGCCAGCCTGCTTTGGGATAGTGGGATTCTTCCAGCTTTCCCAGTGTGGGAAGGGCAGAATGGGCTCCTCCTGAGCAGGTGATTGGAACAGCTGATTGGCGAGCTTGGGTAATAGGTAGTCATTGGCTCTCAGTCTTGTGGTACCAGTGCCCTCCTGCACTGAGCCCAGCCCCTACACCAAGAGAGCTTCCAATCAGTGAAATTGGGGAAGTGATTCCTCACCAGCTTAAAGGAGCACTGAGGTATCATACCATCACTGTGTGTACCTGAGCCTGAGAGTCCGATAGCCAGAGAGTAAGGAAGCTGATAGAAGCCAGCTTCCCAGAGTAAGGGGCTCTGAGCTTGGTTTCCAGAGAGGACTGTGGAAATTACTGGAGTGTTTTCGGGGAGGCATAGCAGGAGAAGTGGCCTGGACACTGTGAGTATGCTGTGAATACTCAGAGGGACAACTGAGTAGAGGCCATATTGAGGGTGCCATTAAGACTGTCTTGGAAAGCACACCTGGAGAGCCAGGCGCTAGCTGTAGTTTGGATCTAACCCAAAAAACAGCCAGAGATTCTGACAGAATCCTATTCTGTGGCTATTTCTAGAACTTTTTTGGAGGTGAGGGGTGGGGAGGTACTGGGGGTTGAACCCAGGGTGCTAAACCACTCAGCCATATCCCCAGCCCTTTTTATTTTTGTTTTGAGACAGGGCCTCACTAAGTTGCTGAGGCCGGCCTTGAACTTGGGATCCTCCTGCCTCAGCCTCCTGAGTGGCTGGCATTACAGGCAGGCTGTAATTCGCCTAGCTCTAGAACAGTTTGGTTTTTGTTTTTTAATATTTTTAGTTGTAGATGGATACAATACCTTTATTTTGTTTATATAGTTGTGGTTTTTTTTGTTTTGTTTTGTTTTGTTTTTTAATGTGGTGCTGGGGGTTGAACCCAGTGCCTCATGCACACTAGGCAAGTGCTCTACCACTCAGCCACAACCCCAGCCCTCTAGAACAGTTTTGAGGTGACAGCAGAGTGGGTAGGAAAGTAGGCAGCCTTGCTGTGTCCTCACCTGTTCTCATTTCTCCTGTCACCCTGAAGAAAGGGTTCGACGTGTTCAATGCACTGGATCTCATGGAGAATAAAACGTTCCTGGAGAAGCTCAAGTTTGGCATAGGGGATGGCAACCTGCAGTATTATCTCTACAATTGGAAGTGCCCCAGCATGGGGGCTGAGAAGGTATGTGTGGTGTAGCCACATATGGACTGCCAATTAGGTAGCTAGTGCGTCCAGCAGGAGTAGGCCCATAAGTCTGAGATGTGGCATCGGTCAGGGTCCTTGTCAGCTAGTTTTTGGGCCCTTGAAACATCTGTTCCTTCTGATAGCCATACCAGCAGATCAGTGTTCCCCTCTCAGTGATTGGTGAGAATGGCAGGGGGCCAGGCCCTAGAGCCTCATTGGATCAGGAGGGTCATCTGTGGTGTCTCTCCCAGCCAGCTGGACCATCTGGCTGGCCAGGGCAGGGTGTTCTGCACCATCCAAGAAAACCATGAAAGTGGAGTTTCCCATGGAGATTAGGGTCTGTTGATCGGCTGTCCTGTCCTGGGCTGCCACCTTGCCCCTCCTTAGCCCTTTGTCCTCTAGTTCCTCTGGGAAGCTCAGGGGCATGGGTATGGTCAGCATTTACAAAACACTGTCCTGTGAGCTGGAGGGAGCCTTTGGCCCAGTGTTCCTCAGGAAACCACATCACTGGAAGGATCTGATAGAAATGGAAGCCTGGTGCTGAGGCTGGGTGAGAGTCCTTGGCTTCGTGTGAGCACTCAAATGGCACAGGCCATGCTCTGGGGCTTCAATGGGCCAGAACTTCGGGACAGTGGGGAGGCAGGAGAGTCCTGGGCACTGTCAACTCAATTCTGCCTCTCCCTGTTGACTCCTAGGTCGGGCTGGTGTTACAGTAACCAGTTGCCAGTGAGATTTTGGATAAAGCCACTGAGAATTCAAACCAGGAAATGGAACCCTACCACTTGTTGGTCTAATTTTCACAAACGTGAGAATCCCTGGCAAAGGGAACAGAACTGAACCGGCTTTACCAAACCGCCAGTGAACTTGACAATTGTATTGCAATGGCGTAGGCTGCGTGAAGTCACTTCTGGCCGTGTCTCTGGTCTCCCTGTTTTCCACTTGATCACATCCTCATGCAGCCGTGATCAAGGGAATGTAACTGCTGAAAACTAGCTTGCGATTGGCATATTATGGAGTTAACGGGTGAATAATAAAAGTATATATATATTATATATATATAAATATTTTAAATATCTTTCATGTTCCAAATGTGCGAGGATATTTGGTCTCTAATGAAAAGCTGAATCCAGTCATTCCTTAAAATTAGAACCCAGGGACAGTGGCAGACAGACATGTTGGCACAGTTTTTTCCTTCAGAGGCTTTTTTCGGGGGAGCAGGAAAAAGAGGATCTAGGGAACTTTATTCCATTTCCCTTTGGAATCAGCTACAGTGACTGACTGGCTTTGAGCAGGGAGGGAAGGTGAAGGGACTCTGCCAGCTCTAGAGGACTCGTATGTCACAGGCTGGCAGGTGCAGCTGGGTGAAGCTGTGTTCTAATACTGAGCAGTGGGGACAATCATGAAAGCAGGTTTCATTCATTGAGTCCCTTCTTCCTTCCCCTTGACCTGCTCCCTGTAGGAGATCATCCTGTCAAGAGCTCTTGTTGCCAGCCTTGCAGGGATGCATCCCCTGTGAGACTTTTCCTTTCTATGACTGGGGTGACTGGCAGTTTGAAGGGGACCTTAAACCTCCTTGTAGTGTCTGGAACTTGGTAGAGACCATATCAGTGCAAACCGTGCTTAGCTCATCTCAGAGATCCAAGAGTAAGCACCCTGCTGTCCCCAGGGTGGCTGGGCAGGGATGGCATGGGGCCAATACCCAGACTCCTTCAGCTACCAGCCCCTGGCCTGTGCCTTCTTCAGCCCACTAGCCATTTCTTGCTGTGTCTTTTTTAGGAAACACAACCTACAGTGGCAGCAAGAGGTGGTGATTAGAGGCAGATATTGGCCACAGAAATGGTTTCCATGTAGCCATTGTCTGAGTCTAATTTTCACTGATGCTATTTTGTGGATTTTTGTGGTGGTTGTGATAAATGCTGCCAGTTTCTCCAAAAGTGATCAAGCCCCTGGTCACATGGCTGTCCACGTAGACATTCTTCAGTGGTATTGAGCCAAGTGGCCTGTGGAAGATTGGGCTGTGGAACCGTCAGCAGCCCACACCCAGCTTCCACATAAATTGCTCTAGGAAAAAGTCCTGGGTAGACAGCATAATGTGTGGCGGGGGGATTTCTTGCTGCTTTCACCTCTTGGCCTCTTGTAGGGAGCCGTAGCCAGGAGCTAGACTTAGCGTCAGTGCACAAACTGAAGCCATTCTGTAGGACAACAGAGGTTTGCTTCAAGCCATGGGTTTTTGTGTGGTTTGCCAGAACCTAATTCTGCAATGTCTCCAAAACTGGAGGAAATTGTTTGCTGGGGATGGGAGCTGTACCACCGTGGGAGTGCCGTCTGCTCTCTGCAGACTACTGCTGCAGTTCCACTGTGGTGGATTTTTATCAGGTTTCTAGGGGCTCCCTTCTTCCCACTATCCTGTGCTGCAAACTGCAGGCACCAGCGAAAGTGGCTGACCTTTGACTCCTTGACTCCAAGATACCCAGACCAAAGAAGCTGCCATTCTTGGTGTGAAGCATACTGAATCTCACAGACAGGAGGAGTCAGAGAGGTGGAGGCTTGCCTTCCAGCCTTGCAGACAGTAGACACAGTGCCCCAAGTGCCAGAGCATTTAACCTGGATCAGACCCCTCAGATGTCAAAGAACAAAGTATTCAGGTCTTTCCTACCTAGAGGAGACTTAGAATGTTGGAAAGATGCCCTGTCTTAATCTTGATCAGTTCTGAGCCAAGTCCCAGCTCAAGTTGCCCCTAAGATTTGAGTGAGCTTTGCTTTGGTTGACCTGGTCATGGAATGGGAATATTGAGTCCCCAGTGGCTGCTCTGGAAGAAACAGATCTCTTGGCAAAGACTCCAGCTTCTCCCTCCCCAAAACCAGGTCACTTGCTCCTGGGACTCGGCTGTTTTCCCCTGGTGGGGACCCGTCCAAGTCTGCAGGAGACAGCTCAGGGCTACTGTTGAGTTTCATTTCTGTCTAAACTGACCCTGGGTTCTTCACTCAACCCCTTCTGGAATTTGAGGTCAGGGAGCATCATCATCAGAGGAGAGGTTCAGGACCTCCTATAGGAGCCTTGATGGCACCATGACTGACTTGAACCAAACAAGGGAAGGACAGCGCCTCCAAGCTGACCTGCTCAGGCAGCCATGTTGGAAAACCTCTCTGGGCCTGGCCACCACCTTCTGCCACCTAGTCCTCCTGGCTGCCATATTCTGAAGATGACCTTTACCTCCTGTCTCTGGATTGACTCTATTTGACCTTGGACTCCGTCTCTGTAGGGAGAGAGCCGGATAGAAAGGAGGCCTTAACTCTGGATTGGGGCCTACATAAGGCTCATTTTCCCCACACGTGCCTATTTCTGAAGATGCTGATGTCTGAAGGCTGGCCCACACCAAGCTACTCCAACACCCTTTTTTAATGAAAAATTTCAGGCCTTGCCTACAACTAACTGCCATTGCCTACAACTTACTGGGTCTCTGAAGAACAAAGACAGATATCTCATGGTCTAGAATTCTTTCCCCAAAGATGACGAGCATTTAACTAACCTGAGGCCTTGGACAGTTTCATAGAACTGTGATCTAGGACTGTCAGGTCAGGGAAGGAGGCAGGAGTGTCTGTTGGAGGCAACCTTCTTGAGGCCTGGCCTCCCTGCCCCAGAATCAGAGAGACCCAAGGCCTCACTTTTGCCTAGCAGTAAAGCAAAGGCAGACCTACAAATAGACTGTACCAGGGTGAGGCTATTTAGGACAGTTTCATTTAATTAAACTCAAAAACATTGACTGGCTGGCAGGCAGGGCTGCATCTGGGAACAGAGAGGGCAAGCTTCACCTTTTTGTCTTGGCTTTTCTTGGGCTGTAGGGGACATCCATTTCCAGGGTGGGGAAGAAATACCAAATGCATTGTTGTTCTGCTCAGTACATCTCACTTGTTTCTAATAAAAGAAGCAGCTGAATAAATCGATCTGCCCTCCTGGTATTCCTCTGGTCAGCAGGTGGCAGTAAAACAGATGAATCATGGGGCTGGGCTAGAGCAAGGGTGATAATAAAGACCCCCAGGAACCATGATACTAGGCCAGGTTTGGAAGACCTTCTTCCAGCACATACTTGGCTCTTCTCACCACTAGAGAGGAACCAGGACAGAGCCAGGTTCTCCAGAGGAGTAACGGCATAAGAGCATCAAGCAGCTTGGTAGAGTCAGTCAGAGTGGCTTCTCACAGGAGGATACAGGCACTACACCCTGCCAGAATGTCAGGATACCACATCCCCTCATGGGACACAAACTGAGTGGCTCTATTGAGCTATGAGGGGCATGCCTCCCCAACTCTGGTGTTGCTAGGGATGAAACCCAGGGCCTTACTCATGCTGGATAGGAGCTCTACCACTGAGCCCACCAGGGATGCTTTTTAAATGTGACATTGCTAGGATCCAAGAACTGCATTTAGAATTCCCCATCCCATCCCCCAGTTCTTGTCCTTTGGAGCTTTTCCATTCCCTCATCCCATGATCTTCTCCAGCTCCCCATGGCTGTTATCTCCAAGTTCTTTCCAGGGAACTGAGAAGACATAAGAGCTGCCTAATCCTCATTCCTATGCCCTTACCTTGTATCCCAGGCCTTGCCCATGACCAGGTCACTCTGTTTCTCCAATCTCATCCCCTATTCCTGCCCTGAGCTTTGGCTAGAAGAATACAGCCCTATGGGTGGTCTCCAGGGACTTCCAAGAATAAAGTTGATTTCAGCCAGGCACGGTGGTGCATGCCTATAATCCCAGTGGCTCAGGAGGATCACGAGTTCAAAGCCAGCCTCAGCAATGGCAACACATTTAGCAACTCAGTGAGACCCTGTCTCTAAATAAGACACAAAATAGGCTGGGGATTTTGCCCAGTGGTTGAATACCCCTGTCCCCCCAAAAAAGAATAAAGCTGATTTCTTCTTTGCTTCCACCATTCATATTTGTTCAGTTCCTGTCACCTTCCTAGCCTTAGGGACTGGCCCTTTCAATGTGGTTTCCCAGCTCTGGGCTCTTGTCCTAGCTGTCAACCCTTCCTTTTACAACACCAAACCAGAGACAAGAAGCAGGATGGGGGCTCAGCCCTGGGCCTGTGCATGCCAGGCCCTGAACAGAACTGTCCCCCCTGTAGACCAAACTGGATTTGGTCTCAGATTTGGCGCCCTGGGTTGTAAGTTGGCCATCTGGTCTTCCTGACAGCTGTATGCACCAGTCCCTGGCCCATCCATTCTGGGCACCTTCAGATTCTGGTCATCCTCTTTCAGATACTCCAATTTATCAGAACCGAACTCCTCTCCTATTAAGAACCAGGAGCAGGCTGGTCATGGTGGCATACACCTGTAATCCCAGTGACTTGGAAGCTAAGGCAGGAGGATCACAAGTTCGAGGCCAGCCCCAGCAGTTAGGGAGGACCTAAGCAACTTAGTGAAATCCTGTCTCAAAATGAAAAATAAAAAGGGCTGGGGATGTGGCCCAGGGTAAAGTATCGGGGGCACTCCTGGGGTTGAAGGGAGGTAGAGACTGGCCTAGCCTTGGGTTTTGGTTCCTATAGGCCTTGGGGCCAATTCAAGGCCTAGCCCAGCCCACCCTGTGGAAACCACCTTCCTGACTGCCCTTGTCCGGTACTGGTGATGTTGCCTGGTGAAAACTAAAATACCACAGCTCCACAGTCCCATAAACTCCTTCTTTTGACAGGCGTGAGCCCCAGGTTTTATCTGGATCCTGTCCTCCGGTATATTGCTTCCTCTCCCAGCATTGTTACAGAGGTGGCCTAGAGCGCTGCCACTTTCCACACTTTCATTTGTGAGGCCGTTTGCCTGTTCTTGGGGGTGTGCTCAACTGAGCAGATGGGTCCTGAACCCAGCTGAGCCTGGAAAGTGGGGTTCCCTCAGAGTACTGCCCTGTGCCCCATTTAAGGCCACTGGTATGTGGTAGGGGAGTGGGGTGACCTTGTGAATTAGTGTCTTCAGACAGATTTGTGATACTCGAAGCAGCTTTTAAGTCAAGCGCAGCGGTCAGAGCTATTTTGAGCCATGGCATCTCCCACAGCCACTCCAGGCTATCTTAGACAATCTAAGCCCTGCTGGGGCTCTCGCTGCAGCCGTCCCTCGGGGCCAGTGTTGTGGTTCAGAGGTGCTGTGGCATGGGGGTGGTAAGGGAAACTTGCTTCTTTATTTTTCAAAACAGACACTCTCCCTGCCCTCTCCAAGGCTTTTTTGTTTGTTTGTTTTTTAATAGTTTTTTAGTGGTCCTGAGGATTAAACCCAGGGCCTCACACATGCTAGGCGAGCGCTCTCCACTGAGCTACAGCCCCAGCCCCTCTCCAGGGCTCTTCTGTGACAAGTTACAAACCTACTGCCAGGTTTCCCCAGGGCTCCACCTCAACACTCCCTTCTTGCTCCAGGAAGTGAAGCCAAGGGAGGAGAAGCTCAGGTTGGAGAGCAGGAGGAGGCAGCCAGGAAAGCCTGGGGGCCGGAGGGCTTTAGGGTAGGCTAATGCCTGGGGTGGGGGATAGGGGGACAGCTCTGTGGGGCAGATGGCCCTGCCAGAGGTCAGAAGAGCTGAGGGCTTAAAGGTGTCCTGCTTCCCAAGTCTCCTGACAGCTACAGGCCTGCCTTCTTATAAGTCATGATGAGGATGTGGGCTGAGGACCAGAGGAGCTGGAGCCATCTCAAGACCCCAGGGTTGGAGCCCACTGATGTCAAGTGAGCGTCTTAAGGGCACAGATCCCCTGCTAGTGGCCCAGGAGGGGCCGGGTAGCCATCAGACTCAGTGAAGTCAGCAGCTGCTGAGCCGGCCAGGTGGGAGCGCTGGAGGGACTGTTGCTCCCACTAGTCCTCGCTCCGGGGGAAGAGAGGGCTCTGTGCAGACTGGTACCCACAGAACCCTGGAGTGGTCCTTTAGTCCTTCAGGAGCGCTGGATGTGGATGTGGACAAAAAGCGTGGCAGGGGACAGTGATGCCCCATCCTTGGAAAGCAGGTGGATGTGGCGGTACCCTGTAGGGACAGCAGCCAGGCATCAGATCCTTGGACCCAACTCCTGCCTGGTTCAGGGAGGGCCACATGGGGAAGTCAAGGGTCAAAGGTGAACAGGGCTTGAGGCTGGGACTCCATCCAGTTCCATCCCTACCGGCTTCCACCAACCTTGCTTCAGGCTGTTGAGAGGCAGTGTAAACTGGCCCACAAAGTCATTGGGGGAGGTGGTATCATAATCTTCTACCACAAACCGCACCAGCACCAGCTCTGGGGCCCGCAGCTGGAACTGCAGGGTCTGGCCCCAGTGGGGATTGAAACCTAGGGCACAGGTGTAGTTATCAGGGCCCAGTTGGCCCTAGGGCCTGCCCTGTGCCTCCCTCCTCTGCTGTTTGTGTCTGTCCCCCACTCCCACCCATGGGCCCACCTGCCCACCATTATTGAGCACATAGCTGGTCTCCTTCCGAGCACAGTCTGCGGGCACCCCATGGATCTCCACACGCACCAGGGGGTCCACAATGGAGCTGGGCTTCTCAGCATTCAGCTTGGGCAGCTGCTGGGCAGTTAGTACCTGGGGAAGGGAGGCAGGGAGCTTTGACCGGGCCCCTAACGGGGCCATGCCCACTCCTGCTCCCCTGCCAGGACAGGAAGCCTCTGGCCCTATCTGCATGCGAGCCAACCGTGCCTGTGTGGACACAGACACTCAGGCTACTCTCACACCAGGCCGGCCCTGGCCTCCTGTGTCTTCCTCTACTTCCGACTGGTGCCTCAGAATGAGCCCTGACCCCAGGCTGGATTTTGGTCCATGCTGCTGACCTGGACTGTTAGAGTAGTTCTGGGAGGTCCAGGGCATTCGGGGTCAAAGGTTGTGTCAGGTTGCCGTAGACAGGCAGGTTTCAGGACATAGCCACACCGCCCATTGATGAGGAAGCGCCCTTCATTGAGGTCCATCTCATAACCTGGTGTCTGGAAGTTCAGGGCCACTGTGGACAAACAGGATTAAGCAGGGGCTTTTAGTGGCCCTCTCCTCACTGCCCAGTTTCAGGTGACTTGGCTAGAAAGGACACAGCTCTTTGCACAGAGGCCCAGCATCCTACTGTCTGGTCAGAGATATCTGCCCCCATCATGACTTGCAGGAAGGGGGTCATAGCAGCCAGGGGACCCAACCCTACTGTCACCTATACCTTCTCCCTGCTATCTCTCAAGTCTGGATGGTGGGGCTGGGCTGAGATGCTAGAAAGGTCCCCACTCTCAGGGCTAGGCCTGGGTCAGAATCAGGGCCTGAGAAGTCCTGGGGTTTCCATAACTAGCCCCAAAGGGACCATGCTACCCTCCTTTGGCAGGACTCCGTGTCCCCCAGAGCCCAACCCTGTCAGTCTTGACTTAGTAGGGCTGCCAGGTGTGTGTGCCCACACTTTTAAATTTCTAAAATTATAGAAACAGCTTTTAAAATAATTGTTGTTAACAGGATGCATATTTCTATCTTCTGGAAGGCTATGTGGCCCCCTCCCGTGGCTGCCCAGAGGCTACACCTACCTAATGGCATCTGACTGCCCCACTCCTGTGGCCCCCGTGGCCCCTACTCACCCAGCTGACAGCCTGAGTTCCACATCTCCTGGGGGTTGTAGTTGGCCGAGTTCATCCGCAGACCCAATGGATACACACGGGTCAGCTGGCGAGCATTGCGTCTGACAAAGCTGTTCCCTAGGGCAGAGTTTGGGCCAAGACTGTGACAGACTCTGGGGGTGTCCTTGCCCAGTGCCTGTAGCCTCCTGGAAACAGAGGCTGAACTCCCCCAATCCCAGCTTCCCACTCCCCTCTGACCTAGAGTGAGAGGGAACTCAGGAGGCTGCTGAAAGCCAAACAGGCAGGGACACAGCCTGGTACTACAGCCCCAACCCATAATTCCCACATTCCTGACTCCCTCGTGGAACACCTGGCCCCAGGCTGATCCCCTGCCACTCATCACTCATCCTGCCCACATCCTCCAGCCACACTCTGGGTTCCTGGAACCTTCCATAGGTCATGCCTCTGGGCCTATGTACAACCTGTTCCTCCTGTCTGGAAATTCCTTCCCCTCTTCCCCAGGCTGCTTCCTCCTCGCCCTTCAGGTGAGGTATCTTCTCAAGCTTCACCTGCTCCCAAAAGACTTCTCTGATCTCACCCACTCGGGTAGGACTTCCCCAGCCCCCGTGATGGCCTGACTGATTACCCATCTATGTTTAGCTTACTACCGGGCTGTGAGCTCTATGAAGGCAGACACAGGCCCTCTCCCGCTCGTGGCTCTCTCCTCCATCCACACCTGGCTCCATGCTGGGCCCTCATTCCCTGAATAGAGCCCCTCTCTGGGGTCCAGATCTCTTATGGCCCCCACAGTCTTCTCAATCTCTTCAGACCAATTTCAGGATACCCCCTGACCCTCCAGAGCCTGCAGGGTCCTACCACCCTCCTGCCAGGAGACACCGAATCTCCAGCTCCTACCTGCCTCCCGGATGAACTTCTTGGCCTTGCGCTCACTGAGGGAGCTGACCTGGTAGGGCTGGGGTGGTCCAGGGCCAGGGTTCAGGGTCCGCAGGCGGGTGGCCCAGCAGTACACAGCCAGGGCTGACAGCTCTGGGGAGATCTGCTTGGCCTGGGAGACCAGCTGTAGTGGGGGCCCCTGGCTGGAGCCCCCTAGTGCCACCTCCCCATCCCAACCTCAGCCCTTGCCAGTCCACTGGTCCACCCAGGATGGCTCACCTTCCGTCTCTGCTCTGCAACCTCTGCGGCTTCTTCCCCCTCCTCTTCCTCCTCTTCCTCCTCCTCCCTGTCTGATAAAATTCGGCCATCCTCCATGTGTGCAGCTGGTAGCTTCTTCCCCTTCACCAGGACCCGGCCTTTCAGCTTCTATAGAGGACAATATGGACAGGTGAAGCCCTCCGGCCCCTCACAGCAGCTGGTGGTCAGCCATTCAGCCACCACTGAGACTGATAGGGTTGGGCACAGGAAGGAGACAGGTGAGCGATGTGGCTAATAGGAAAAAATAAGGAATAACCTACGAGGCCATCAATAGGTACAGCTAATAGGGTGCCTCCCTCCATCAGAATACCACGCAGCAGCAGATACAAACAGGACAGCTAAGGCCTGAAAGGGAAGGGATCCTCTTCTAAATGGATCTTTCAAGAAAGAAGTGAGCAGAACATGTAATGACATGAGCCTTTTTGTGTAACATTTAAAAGAGAAGTTATATACATAGGTGTGTATGCACGTGAATATTCTGGAAGGATTGTGGAATAGAATGGAGTGAGCCTGAGTAGAAGACGACCCATTTTTTCATTGTATACCCTTTGTATAGTTTGGTTTTTCTTTTACCCTATGTATGTTATTTTCATACTAATAACAAAATCAAATCTCACCCACACACAAAGGTGAGTCAACATTCCTACATATTTGGCACTGGGAGGAAGAAAAGAATCTGTCAGAAGCTGTAAAGGTTGCATGTCCTAAGAGAGCAGATCAGATGCTCTGGGGCTTGGGGGAAGGGAGGAAGGCCTCTGGCCAGAGGGCTGAGGAGGCTCCTAAGGTCCAGGGAAGGGCGGGGGACACTGGGCTGGAATTCTAAGCAGGTGGCGCTTGGTGAGTGCAGGTGGCTGGGACTCTGTGGGCAGAGACACAAAGCTGGGCAGGGCAGCACCCGGTGAGGAGGGCTCTGAGTAAGCTAAGGGGATGGGTTGTGTCTAATCCGACATGGAGAGCTAGAGCCCAGCACAGGGACAGATGAGTGGCAGGTATCAGGTGACCCGAGAAACAGGGAAAGGTAAAAGCAGAAGTGAGGGGTCCTGAACCAGAGAGGTGACATGAGCAGGGCTGGGTGGTGGACACCAGTCAGACCCTCCTCCCTCCCAGGCTGGGGGTTCTGGGAGCTTCACCTCTGGCGACGGCAGCTCCTCAGGATTCTGGGAGTCTAGCGCCTGCATCACCAGCATGTCTCCCAGGATGGTTCGAAGGTGGCGAGCCATGGCAGCCTGGTGCTCCAGCCCACAGTGGTTCTCAAGGGATAGGATGACAGGGTATGGGGACAACTGGGGAGCAAGAAGAGCAACTGCTTAGAGTCACTGATTCTCCCTCAGTCACTACCTTTCCTCTACATCTGGCCCCCAACTCCTTTAGGACAGGAAGGCAAAGGCAGAGCTCTGGAGAACCCGTGTAGAGAGATCAAATCCATGGGAAGTGGGACACATGGGGCCAGTATGTATCAGCAGACCAGTTAGATCTGTGCCTCGGGGAAGGGGTGGACAGTCTGGGACACTGAGGGCAACTGCAGGAATGGAGTTCTTTTATAAATGCTCTGTGCGTCCATGACATTTACTATGTCAACTATATTGCAATGTCCCACCATTATTTGATAGGACCGTATAACTTGATTTTTTTTTTTTTTTTTTTTTTGGTGCTGAGGCTTGATCCCAGAGGTGCTCCACCCCTGAGCATGTCCCCAGCCCTGAGGTCTGTATATCTTGGAGTTGCAATACTATGTAGATGCTACTCTGAGATTCTCCTATGGCTTACTCTTTGGAAGTCATGATTAAAATTCTCTTTCCTACCCTCAAGGTTTTCTTTTTCTTTTTTGGTACCGGGGATTGAACCTAGGGGTGTTTAACCCCTGAGCCACATCCCCAACCCTTTTTAATTTTTTTTTTTTTTTTTGAGACAGAGTCTTACTAAGTTGCTGAAGCTGTCCTCAAACTGGCAATTCTCCTGTCTCAGCTACCCTAGTTGCTGGCCCCAAGGTTTCTTCTGGAAATTTCGTGATGTTAATACATGCGTTAACCGTGAAGGTAGAAGGAAGGAGCACTGAGTCCAGCTTTATTCTTTCCCATTGGCCAGTTTTCCCAGCAGCACTTGGTGAATAAGCGGCTCTCTAGACAGGGACTAAGGGTAGCTAGTGTATGAATGGGGTGAGGGTCACTGGGAAGGCTCTGGGGCTGGGTATGGGGTCCTAAGGGCTCACCACGAAGGCATGGTCACGCACGGCTTGGATCACGTCTCGGAAGAGGATCTTGGAGGTGAGTGTGTGGCCATGGTAGATGACAGGCTCCCCTCCTGGGCCTTCCCAACAGTCCAGTTCCACACAGCGGCATCCCTGGGCAAAGGCCCTGGATAGACACATGGATGGGCAAGGTGTTGTGTGGATGCCATAGAGCCAGGCAACAGTCAGGCTGAGCCAGGGAGGTACCTGGAAGCCCAGCATAGGGGTTGAGCCCCATATCCCTCCCTAAGCTGGGCTCCCAAATGTGTTGACCGCCCCCCCCAACATAGGCCTCCGTGCTGCAGTACCTAACATAGGCCTCTGTGCTGCTGGGCCCCCCAATCTGAGAGTCAGTCAGATAAGTATTGTGAGAAGAGGAGATGAAATAGTGGGCAAGAGGCTGGCCCATATCCTGGAACACACACGTGTGAGCCATGTCCAGGGCAGCCCCCTCGGGTGACAGCAGGTACATCATAAAGCCATCCAGTGTCATCAGCTCATGCTGCTTGGCTACAGAAAAGGGCAGGAAAGAGCATTAGGCCACAGGGGCTTCAGTGTCCAGACCCAAATACCCCTGTAATAACAACTAGAGCACCTACTGACTAGACTGCAGACACATGCCATTTAGTCTTCCACCACACCCTGTGAGGCAGACACATTATAATGCCAGGATACAGATGTGCAGTCTGAGTCTGCGAGTCAAGGTGACCTGCCCGAGATGGCAGAGCCCCTTGGCTGGGAACCCAGAGCGGTCAGGGAGCGAGACTGGGCTGAGCTCCCCAAACCCACCTGTCTCATTGAGTTCATAGGTCTGGATGAGCTGCTGGGCACGGGCCAGGGTGGCGCCATCCTCACCCTGGTCCTCCAGGAACTCCAGTAGCTCAGGGGCACTCAGCACACGGTCCTCGCCTGAGTATCGACTGAAGATCTCCTCCAACTCTGGGCGCTTCAGCAGCCGCCGCAGGAACTCCTCAATTTCAGCTCCCTCCAGGCGCTCATTGTTGGAATGGTCACACTCCTGGAAAGCCAGGATGGGAGGATACTCAACAAAAGCCACATGGAAGGAGGACTTGACCCCACTGTCCCACCCCAAGACCCATCTCATCTGGGAAGGCAATGATCCCCATTCCACAGGTGGAGAAACTAAGAGCAAGGCTCTGGTCACACAGCCAGGGAACTGCAGAGTAGCAGGGTCTTGGGTTCAGTGTCTCTCCCCAAGATGTGGGAGGAAAAATAATGATCCTGGGGCAGGGCTCAGCCCTGGTGCCACAGGGCCCCTCCAGGTGCACATACAACCATAACCATCACCACACTCACACACTCACACTTGGGGAGTGTGCAATAAGTGAAAATTCGCAGAGTAGTTCAGGTGCAGTGTTGGGCTATAGATAGGTGCCACAGGCTCTCTTATCTTCTAGAGTCACAGTTTGGTCACAGCCCCTACACAGGTGTCTGCTGTGTGCCCTGATCACTTCCAAACATGGACAGCTACCCCAGTGTGCCCTGAGACAGTGTTCCCACACAGGCACGTGTGGAGGGGCCACACATGCCTCAGTGCAGGGTCCTACATGGAGGAGGGTGTGTGCGCCCAGGTGTCTGCAAACCAACTCCGGCCTGTGCTCCTGTGTCTAAGCCACGCATGGTTACAGGTACAAAGGCGCCCTGCAGGCTGAGACATGAAAGCAGCTTTGCTGCTCACTTCAGAGGGCTAGGGCAGTGCCACCCAACCCTGGGCTCTGCCTGAGGATGAGAAAAGTTCTGGTTCACCACTCCTAGTCCCATCCTGGCCCAGTGGCCAGGGGGAGGGGAAAGAGTAACTAGGCCCAGATGTTGCTTTTCTGCAGGGAGAGCAGACTCCCTCTAAAAAAGCCACAGCAGGGAGGGGTGCTGGGACCAGCAGAGTGGTGGCAGAGCCTGAGGGGCCAGGGTTCACCTTGAAGAGGCGGTAGGCATACATGTCATTCATGTCCACGTTGACCATCCTGAGGAGGCTCTTGATTTCCTTGAAGCTCATCTTACTATCCTGATTCGAGTCTGCCCGGTGCAGGTAGGAGTGGATCCAGGTGTGGGTGCTCAGGAAATACCAGCAACAGACTGGGTCCCCCCCCAGTGGCAGGCAACTGACCCATAACTCACCACCGCCTGGGTCTGGGGGATCTGGGGTACAGACTTCACTTTCTAGCCAGCCTGTGGACTCCCTGATCTCTGTAGCAATGTCTTCTGCATGGGACTTGGGCTCCCCAAACCAGAAGGCGTCTCCACCTTTAAAAGGTCCTTCATCCTCCCTGAGGAGGGGCACTGCCTTCCTCCTTGGTGGCAACTCAGCCCAAGCCAGGCCAGGGTGAGTGTCCCCACTCAGTTCCAAAGACTAGAGGCCCTATCTCAGACCTAAATAAAGGCAGGACCATGGCTTCCTTGGGGACTGGGGCTCCCTAAGGGACCGGTCCTCCCTTCCAGCACCAGCAGGATATTGGTCAAGCCGCTCGCGCTGGCTCATAGCATCGAGGCGCGCGCGCAGCTTGGCCAGGCCACGCACCCAGCGCTGGGCCTCCTCGGCGGTGGGTGCCGCCAGGTCCAGGTTCTTGCGGCGACCTTTGAAGGCGATGGTGAGGCAGCGCGCAGGTGCGAAGGCGCCCCCGTAGCGCCGCAGGCCCTCGGACTGGTGCCCCTCGCGGACAGCCTCGATGTGCTGTACGAAGACTGCGGGCAAGCGGGGTCAGGTGGTGCCCGAGACCGTCCCCGCCGCCCACCGGGTGCCACCCCCTGGCCTGCTCACAGATGTGCTGCGATGGCGCACGAGGGATGCGCCTCTGGAACCACACGCTCAGGCCGTCCTCCTGCAGCCGGTACAGCCGCTCCTTGTGCCACGTGCGTGAGCGGATCTTGCAGAGCCGGGAGCCCCGCAGCATGGCGCGCACGTCCTCGTCCTCCGTCAGGCCTGCGGGGAGGGACCTGGAACGTTGGACCCGGCCAGGCAGTGTCCCGGCCAGAAGCTCCCACCTGCCTCTCCCCAGCTGGTCCGCTCGGTCTTCCTTCCCTCTCTCTTGAGCCCTGTCAGTGAGCTTCCCTGACCCTCTTTTCATTCTAACAAGTCGCCATCACTGCACTTGGCTTTTGGCTTTGAGGCCCCAAACACCGCCCATCATCCTCCCTTCTGAGCAGGGGCCTCTGCAATCCCTGAGCACATAACAACCTTCAGGCAGTGCCTGGGACACTAAAGGTCACCCTTTTTGCTACTACTTTTTTTTTTAAATATATTTTTTTAATTGTAGATGGACACAACACATTTACTTTTTTTAATTTATTTTGATACGGTGCTGAAGATTGAACCCAGTGCTTCACACATGCCAGGCAAGGACTCTACCACTGAGCCACAACCCCAGCCCCTTTGCTACCACTCTATCAAAGCCTTCAAGCCCAGAATCTGCCACCAGTAGCAAGTTCCTTGATGTGAAACTAGTGGCCATTAGGAAAATAGTCTATCTAATCTAAATCTCTCTTGCTACAACCCAAGCTTCTCACTTTTGCCTTCCCAAGACAAGGGAGGATAGCAGAGGCCATCTGTCACTAGAGACACAGACCAACAACCCCAGAACCATCCCTGCCTGGCTGATCTCCAGGTACCAGGGAACCACTGCACTACACTGTCCTGCTCTGCCCTCTTCTTCCTCTCACTGCCGCAGCCACCCTGGGCTGTGAGAGGTGGTAAAAGAGCAGAATTTAAATTCAGGGGTCTGGGGCAGGAGGTCCCAACTCTGTTACCTTCCGGTTACCCAGCCCTGGTGGCATTAACCTGTGACTGCTCTAAGCCTCGTGTTCTCCACTTATAAAATGGGAACCACAATAATACCTATTGCAAAATCCAAAATTTAGTAAAAAAAAAAAATCCAAAATTCAGGGCTCTACGCCCCTGAATACACTGCCTGGCCCTGTGGCGCCGGCTCTGAACCCTCTCAGCATAAGTCCGAAACCAAAGGGTTATGAGCCAGAGGACAATAGGACAAGTGGGAACCAAGCCACAGGAGAGTCCACACCCTGTGGAGGGAGGGGGACAGCCAGGAGGGATGAGGGCCCAGAGTTTCCAGAGAACGGGAATCTGGACCTGGATGTGAAGCCTCCACATTTTTTAATGTTGGCAATCAAATCAGATTGGAAAAACAAAAAACCAAAATCACTGTGAGCCAAACAAAACTCCACATACCTCTCTGCCTCCCTTTTTTTTTTTTTTTTGTAAGAAAAAATAACCCAGGATTGAACCCAGGGCCCCTCACACATGCTAGGCAAGCACTCCACCACTTAGCCACGTACCCGGCTCTTCTTTTCAATTTTATTTTGAGACAGGATCTCGCTAAGTTGTTCAGTCTAGCCTCAAATTTGTGATTCTCCTGCTTCAGCCTCCTAAGCATGCACTGGCCACTGTGCCCGGCTCCTTCTTTTAATAAGCTCCAGTTGCAAACTCTGACCTAAGGAATCAGTCTTGGCACAGTGGCACATGCTTGTAATCCCAGCCACTAGGGAAGCTGAGGCAGGAGGATTGTAAGTTCAAGGCCAGCTTCAGCAATTTAGCAAGACCCAGTCTCAAAATAAAAAAGAAGGGAGATGTAGCTCAGTGGTAAAGCACCCCTGGATTCACTCTCCAGTACCAAAAAAAAAAAAAAGGTATAAATCTAATCTAAATCTCTTTGGAGATTTGCATCATCTCTTGGACTGTTTGTGGGATCTTTTCTCTTTCTCTTACTAGTAGCTGAGTCCTTCAAGGAAAGGCTCAGTCCCTCACCTCCTCCAGGAAGGCTTCTTTGATTTGTCCTCAAACGGCAGTTCTCCCTTCCTGACCAAGAGTACCTTTTCCTTTAATTAACCATTAAAAAACAAAAAACCCTATATTGTAATTTCAGGGAAATTTATCAGGCTTGAGGGCAGAATGAGGTCTTATTTCCTCCCCAAAGCACTAGCGTTTATAGAAAGGCCTACAGTTGGGGGCTAATTGCACTCTATCCCAGTCCTGCCCAGTCTTTCCGAGCTCAAGGCAGAGGCTTGACAGGGTTTCTGAGTATTAGCTGAGCATGGAATCACCTGGGGGTGCAGAGACGCTGATACAGCAGGTGTGGGGTACAGCTTGGGCATCTGTATTTAAAAATTTTCCCTTATGGCTTTGAGGGTCACAGAGAAGCAGGATCTCAGGGGCAGGAGAAACCTGCCCTTCTTGTACCCAAGAAAGGGTACCTGCTGGGGCCCTCACAGCTCCAAGAGATTTCTTGGGGACTTGACTTTGACCCTCTGGGTCAGCACCCACTTGCCTGGTCAGGAAAGGGAGGTGGAACTCTCCTCCTCTTTCCATTCAAAGAGCCAGACACCCCCTGCGCTGCAGGCTTCCCACCACACTCAGGCGACCTCTGAATTCTCTCCTGAGAAACAACCTGGGGAGCAGGTCAGGGAAACCTGCAGTGCCACTATGACTGGCCCACTCCACCCCCTCAGCCCTGGGAAAGGCTCTGCAGCAAGGCCACCTCCCCTAACCGGCCAGTCCTTCAAGTCTATGGGGGTGGGGAGGGGGCTGGTGAATGACTAAGGCCGGAAATGGAGGTGAGTCACTCAGCTTCTGTTTTGTCCAGAGCTTTCTGCAAACAGGCCACAAAGACAGGCAGCCCATGTGCCAGATGCCCCCTGGCAGGTTTTCACATGGAGCGGGCTGCTACTCCAGGCCTTTGCCCCCAGCTCCCTTGGAGCCTGCTGAGTAGAGAAGAGGGGTAACATTCCAGGCTGCCCACCCAAGTGGCACTGGCCTCTGAATCACATGGTCCCCAAACCTCTCTGACTACACATTAGGTGTGTAGCCAAAGGAAAGGTCGAACAGAATGAGGTTCAACACAGGCTGGGCCTGGGGCTGAGTCCTGGGGCTGGGAGTCTTCTAAACCATGGGCAGTGAGGCTGTCCAGGAGCAAGGGCGGGGCCAGCAGACACAAGAGGCAAGGTCAGCAGGAGGGCCTGGCTCGCTCTCTACTTAGCCACCCAGGAAACATCTGTAGGTCCGTCCAGGCCCAAATTCACAGGTGTTGCCCCAACCTCATTCCTGCGGGCCCTGAACAGGTGCATAAGCCCCCCACCTCCTCTGTCTGTGGGTTTTCTATCTGACCTGAGGCTAGGCCCAAGGCCACTCTTGACAGAGTGGGTGGAGGAATAATTATGAAATAATAGCAGCAAAAATGAGGGTGAATAGCCAGAAAGTGGGGACAGCCCAACTGTCCATCCCAGATGAATGGATAAGCACAATGTGGCAATATGCACACAACATGTGTCGCTCAGCCTTAGGAAGTCTGAGCCTTAGGAAATCTGACACATGCTGCAATTCAGATGAACCCCCAAAACACAATGTCACATGAAAAAAGCCAGGCGCAAAATGATAAGCAGTGGGTGATTCCACTTATTTGAGGCTCTCAGAAGAGGCAAATTCATAGACAGAAAGTAGAGGTTGCCAGGGGCTGGGGGAGGAAAGAAGGTGGGGGTTACTGCTTAATTATTACAAAGTTTCTGTTTGGGGCTGTATTAAAAGTCTTGGGAATAGGTAATAGTGGTGGTTGCACCTATTATAATTAATGCCTGTGAATTGGCCACATAAAAATGGTTAGAATGGTCAAGTTTATGTTATATCTATTTTATCAGTTTTTTTTTTTTTTTTAAGCTGGGGATTGACCCAGGGGTGCTTTACCACTAAGCTACATCTGCGGTCCTTTTTATTTTTATTTGTGGTACCAGGGATTGAATCCAGGAGCACTTAACTACTGAGCCACATCCCCAGCCCTTTTAATTTTTTGAGATAGGGTTTTGCTAAGTTGCTGAGGCTAGCTTCGAACTTGTGATCCTCTTGCCTGGGATTACAGGTGTGCACCACAATGCCCAGCACTTTACCCCTATTTTAAACATTTAATAATATACCAGAAACCACTGTATACTTTACTTGTGCGTGTGTGTGTGTGTGTGTGTATGTGTGTGGTTGGTTGTGTGTGGTGCTGGGGACTGAACCCAGGGCCTTATGCATGGGAGGCATGCTATATCCCCAGCCCCACTGCATACTTTAAATGGATGCATAATGTAGTATATGAATTAATCCTGGGGGGGGGGACTGGGACTGAACCCGGGGTGCCCTACCCCTGAGCTTCATCTCCAGCCCTATGGTCACCGGTAGGTGAATGGTAGAGTTCGATCAAGTTGGGAGTTAGAAGAATCTAATCCCAAATGAGAAAAGGCACGAGGCACTCAGTTTAGGGCCTGGCCCATAGTAGGTGCAAATAATAACGAAGACAGGACCTGGGGCAGGCTCTGGAGGTGAGTGGTGCCCCAGGAGGGAAGAGGCAGCTGCCTTCCTCATACCCGGGGGCTCCATACTGGTCCTCTTCTGGACAGGATGAGGTTCCTCCCGCCCACTGAGCCCCAGGGGCTCAGATACCTTCCCTGAGCCCACTGCTCATCTCGGCCCCAGAGAAGCCCATGGCCTAGCATTTCTAACTTTGGCCTTCACCAGGCCCTATGATCTGGGGTCTCTGTCGTTCGCCTAGGTGGCCAGAGCCAACAGCCAGAGACTGCCTCAATAACCAGAGCAGTCTTAGGAGAGCCACTGAAGCTCAGAGAGGGCAAGCTGTGCACTTGAAAATATTGCAGGTCATCTAAGGCCAGGGTGGGTGCAGAGGTGGCCGTGTAGGGTGCTGGCAGGCCAGCATAGGCCTGGGAAAGTGGCAGGGGCATTGTGTTGTTCTGGGTGTGTAACAGGGGTGGTATGCAGAGGGCAGGGTGTGTAAGGAGGGGTTGGTCTCCAGTCAGGGTATGTGCAAATAGGGGTGTGTGTATGGGGGAAATGTTGGGGAGGGAAATAGGCAGTGTGTGTGTGAGAGCCAGTGCACACTCAGGAAGGGTGCCCAGGGCTCCTGCAGGAATTCGAGACATGCAGGGAACAGAGTTTGTGCCAAGGCCGAGGGCAGGAAATGAGCAGCGTTTCCTGGTGCCCGGCCCCAGGAAATGCTGGGAGAGGACACGCAGAAGGACAGGTTCCCAAACACCTTCCCACCTTGGCCCCTTAGTCAGCAGGCAGCCCCTGCACGGTAGGTCCCCCTCATTCCAGCTGGCAGCCACACCCAGGCTGGAGGCAGGGAGCACCAGTGTCCACAGCATTCTTGGAAGAATAAACAAAGGCAGGAAGGGTGGGTGGTGCGCCCCCTGAACATGCCAGCTATATGGAGGTAGCAGCACCTTCCCGGTGGGGCCAGAAGAGGCATGAAGCCTGTTGGTGGCAGAGGTGAGGCTGGGGGCAGGGAAAAGGTGAGGGGGCCACTGGACATGAGAAAGCCAGCCCATGCTTACGATGCCCCTGCTTAGCCTGGAGGGCTACCCAGCCCTTTCCACCTCCAAGCCAGCACCTACCAGGCTTGGGGGTCACTGTGGAGACCCCCACTTGCCAACCCCACCAATGACAGTCCCACTCACCCTGCAGGAGACATCCTAGATGGGCCATTGAGAGAGCCCAGGGGTGGGTGCAGACATGGAGAGGACGGAACAGGATTGTGCCTACTCAGTCCTCTGCCCGCTGGGAGGATTAGGGGTCAGGGCGGAGCATCAGGGCACAGGCGCAGACAGGGCTCTGGGGAGCTGGGACTGCTGGATAAAACTCAGGGCAGCAGTTAAACGTGAATTTCAGGAAAACGACAAATGCTTTTTTAGTATAAGCATGTCCCATAGGCTGGGGTGTAGCTCAGTGGTAGAGCACTTGCCTAGCATGTGTGAGGCCCTGGTTGCACCCCCAGCACCACAAAGGAAAACAAACAAAAACAAAAAACCTAGGAGGACCTCTGGAGGTTGGCGGGCCACTTTGGAGACAGCAGCAGCAGGCCCTCGCCAGGTGGAAGCTTCTCTTTCAATTGTCTTAGGAGCCTGGACCGGGGTTCAAATCTCTCAGCTACACCCAGCTTTGAACCTGGGTGAGTTATAGATCCTCTCTGAGCCTCAGCTTCCTTATTTGTAAAAGGAGACTCCGGGTACCGCCTACCTCATATGATTGTGAGCAAAGGTGATTAATACTCCAGGAGCACCTGGTGTTAATTAATATTTATTCATTTGATAACAGAGAGCATCATGGCACCCAGGCTGTGGCACAGGCAGAAGCTCTTAACTGCGCAGTCTTGGGTGGGGGCTTCACTCCTTCCCATTTCAAGTTTCTCACTTGTCACCAAGAAGGGCACTTTCCCACAGGGATGTCAGAGGACTAAGTGGGATCACCAGCAAGGGGTTCCCTAGGCTGTCTTCCCACCTCTGCATATTCCCGGCCAAGCCAGGGCTCAGCCCTGGGCTGGGGATGCTCCCATTGGGGAGGAGGGGAGTCCTCCCCGGTTTGCTTCATTCTCCCTTGTGTGGTCCGAAGAAATATTCTTTCCCTTGGGTCCCTCTGAGCCACTCCCTGCCCTAGTTCCCTGACCTGATCTGAAATAAGATCAGTTCTCTTAGCCTAAGGGGTGTGGTGAAGGCGGAGGAAGAGCAGGGAGTAGGCTCTTCTTGGGAGGGGCAGAGGCTCTGGTGGTAGTGGAAGCTACTTGTGTGGTAGGCCTAGGCCTTGTCCCCCATGGCCTGAAGCACTAAGCCCCAGGACACCTGGGTCTTGTCTCCACCCTGTCCTTGGGCTCAGTGGGGTTTGATAGGGGCTGTCCCTACAGACCTACTTTCCTCTCAGGGATCACTCAGCAGTCACTCAGCAGGATGAACCAGTGTGAGGAGGGAGGGTGGCCAAGATGACATTCCAATTCTCAACATAGTTCCTGACAGTGTCACCCTTGTGAGGTGCCCAGAGCGCCTGTGCAGCCTTACTCAGATGTTGGGTGCCGAGTTAGGCTAATAATTATGCATCCACTAGCATCCAAGCTCCCTAGGGCAAGTCTCTGTCAACCACTGCTGCAGCCATGGCCAGCACCTGGCCTACTGATGGACAGAGGCAGCCAGGTGTGCAGTGGCCTCAACTATATTTTCCCTTGGCATCCATACCCCCATCAGGGGCTGACTCCACTTCTTTGGCTCCTTGATAGCCCTTGGAGGGTACACTGGCACATGCCTGTAATCCCAGTGGCTCAGGAGGTTGAGGCAGGAGGATCACAAGTTCAAAGCCAGCCTCAGCAATTTAGCATGGTCCTGAGCAACTTGGTGAGACCCTGTCTCTAAATAAGATATCAAAAGAGCTGGAGATGTGTTTCAGTGGTTAAGCACCCCTGGGTTCAATCCCTGGTACCAAAACCAACCAACCAAACAAATAAAAACCTTGGCTGTCTTGGCAGTGGATCCCCTTACCATGGCCATGCCTTATCCCCAAATCACACTGCTTTTTAGCCCAGAGAATGGTACCACCTAACCAGAGACGCCTTCCAGACAGCGCATCACAGAGCCCCCTTGTCTACCTAATAGGGGCTTCTTGAACCCACACCCCTGCACTAGCCCAAGTCTGAGCTCCGACACCTTTCCCCAGCTACTCCTCCTATGGGTCCCCTTGTTCCGCCCTGGCTTTCTCCATCCACTGCCATATAACTCCTGCCTGAGAACTTTCTGGGGTTCCTACTGCCTTCCAAATAGGGTCTGTAACTCCACAGGGAGAAGCTGTGAATAGTTTCTCCCCCCCCCCACCTGCTTCTCCCTTTTCCATTCCAATCACCCTCCAGCTTTGGGGTGTAGCAGGGCCCTCACTGGCTCCCTAACATTATATTTACCCCACTCCTTTCTGGGTCTCATTCTTACTTCCACTGTCTGACCTGTTTGCTGATATGCTCAGCTCTCTAGGGGCAGAGCACACAATAAATGCTGGACACATGCATTATTGATGGGAGTGCGTAGGGCAGGTCTTGGCAAATAAAGCAGTGTTCAGATCATAGTCTGTGCCCAATAAATTCAGGTGGAATGAGTGAGAGAAGGGCGCAGTGTTGGAGGGAAGGCAAGGCTGGTAACTGGGACATCTGAATTCTGCCTGAAGATTGGCCCCAGTGTTTCTGGGCTGCCCTGTTTTTCTGCCCTGTCTTTCCCTAGTTCTATGCCTGATCCCTCTGTCACTAACTGCTCTACCAGTGGCAGTTCTCTAGTAAAGTACTTTACTTTTATAAAATGCTCTCATCTATTCCCCCCTTATTATTCAAAGCCCTCACCTCAATAAGTCTCATTTCACCCATACTCTGAGGGTGCCAGTGGTGTGCTGGAGCACAGCCTGGGTGCCCTTCATTCACTATGTGATCCCAAATTCCTTGACCTCTCTGAGTCAGTTTCCTCACCTGTGAAATGAGGATTACACCTCCTACCTCTCGGGAAGGTGCAGAGGATTGTATGATTGCATGTGTAAGTCACCCTGTGTCTGGCTGTTTCTGAAACATGCTTAATATGCCAGTTACATTCCTTCCGAACTAGTGACTTCCCTTAAGTCTGAGCTGGGAACTTGGGCTTTCTGACAGTGTTCTCCCTGGTTACCACAGTCCTGCCAGTACTGTGTCGCTAGAGTTGGAGTTCTCTTGGGAGGCCACTCTCTTTCACAGAACCGGCCTCAGACACCTCATCCTTCCCAAGGGCCGCCAAGAACCCTGGATGTCCTGGGAACCCATAGAAGAGAGCCGGGTGAAGGACACTCCAAACCTTTATCTCCCCCTCCATTTCCCTGTCCCCGGGAACCCCATCCTCGTCCCATGCCCAAATTCACACTCTGGTGACACGCCCCGCGGGCGCCTCCTGGTGTCGAGGACATCCTGGATGCCTGGCTCGGCCAAGGAACCTCGGGTGACCCCAGGTGCGACTCCCAGTTGAGACGGTGCATGCAATCTTCACCATTGCTTCCCAGCCCCATGCCGCCTGGGAATCCCAGAAGTGACTGCCCGGAACATCCCTCTCCTCCCGGAGCGAGCCCAGGGAACAGTCCGAGCCCCCCCTGAACTCCCGCTGCGTGTCACTGACCCATCTTTTTCAGCGCCCGCAGACCGGGCCTCTTGGTGCCGCCGTCCGGAGACGCTGGCGAGGGCTGGAGCGCGAGGGGCGCGGAGACCTGGGCCGGCACCGGAGGCTCCTCAGGCAGGCGGCGGCACCTCCTCCAGTGGCCGCACAGCATGGCGTGGTGGGGCCGGGGCCGGGCCCGGGGTCTGCGCTCGGGGACACACCAGCGGAGACACCGCTCGTGCCCGGCCCCGGCTCTCTGCGCGGTCCCGAGCGAAGAAACTTAGCGGCGCCGGGAGAGTCGGGAGGAGGAGACCTTGGGAGGAGGGAAAGAGGGAGGGACGAGGTGGCGGGGCAGGGGCGGAGCGAGGACTGCGCGGGGGCGGCGCGAGCCGGCCGCGGGACCCCAGGCCCGGAGCTGTGCGTCCCCCCCGAGTCTCCGCGTTTGGTCGTGAGTCCCCTCCCCTTTCCCGTGCGATCTTCGGATCTCCGCCACATCTGTGGTCAGAGCCTACATGGCGGGGGTGGGGGTGGGGGGCACTAGAGGGGCGAGGGCTCTCCTCCCGCACAAACACCCTCTCCTTTCCGGGGACCCTTGACTCCAAGAGGACGCAGGAACCCACCCCACCCTCTCTCATCGGTTCCACCAGGAGGACTCGGAAGGGAGCCAGGCAGGGGACCGGTCTCTGCGAGGACTGTCCTGGGTTAAGGGTCTTCGGGCCGGGAAACCCCGCAGAACTCCAGAACCGAGCGGAGCGGCCAGGCAGAGCAAACCCGAAGGGCGGGGACAGGGAGGCCTTGGCAGTGACATCACTGAATTAACCTCCGGGTGCTGGGCCAGTGCAGACCCTCAGTGGTGGAAGTCCCGAAACTGACTGATCTGGAGAGTGAGGAAGCACCAAGTCGAGAAATTGGGAACTGGTTCTGGGGTTGACACCCCAGAAGCTTGAACGGATTGACACCCCAGCCTGGGGCTCCGTGGTCCGCCTCACGCTGTGTGAGTGTCCTTGACACCAACTCGTGGGCAACGTCCACGTGCAGATTCTGGTGGCCGTGTCAGGTGTGTGCTTATAAGCGAGAAGGGTGGGATGTCCTGATAGCTGCGTTGTCCGCAGCAGGTGTCCTGGGTCAGGGCAGAGAGCCAGGCACAAACCGCCACTGGGCAGTTGCCCATCCCAGGGCCTCCCACACAGAAAACCGCTGTTTTCGGGACCTAGATCTGCCACCTATTCCCCATTCTCAGATATTTTCAATCCAGAGATTTTGCATACTGACTTGAGTCCCCACCCCTGTGGAGCCTTGAATTTTCTTTCTGAATATCAAGTCTTCACCTTTGTACTTATTGATCTTTCGAGCCCTTCTTCCAGGAGTACCATCCTCGTAATTCTCTTGGGTCACTCTCAAATCTTCCAAAATTCAGCTCCGATGTCTCTCCTCCAGAACTCGTGGCTCAAAACAAGACTCTATTACTTCTCATTCCCCAGCGCCCAAGTATCAGAAAATCTGAGTTGGACGGCTCCTATATATAGTGGGGTGGGCAAAAACCAGCGGGAGTGAATTTCCACGAGGGGGCGCAAGGACCCCACGACTATTCACTATGTCCACCGGGGGGCGCCGCAGCTCGCCTCTGGCTGTCGGATTTGGGAGTCCAACACGTAGATTATCCCCGCCTGATTGGTACAAGCACCGCGACGCTATTTACATAATCTTGAAAGGGCCGTTCTGAGTGGTTAGTGTATAGAAACTGAATGTGAAACGGTGCCTTTCATTGGCTTGAATTTACCCTCTTGCAGTGCGTTCCCATCCCAGCCAGACTGGACCCAGAGGTCAGTCGGAAGCCACCAGTTAGTGGCGAGAGAGGACCCAGGTGTCCCGGCATTGGGAGTCGCGGGGTGAGTGCCGGGCCGGGCTATGGGGGCCCTTGGTCCGAGGCTGTTCGCCCCGCCCTGATCCTTCGTTCCCTCATTCGCCTGTCCAGGAGCTGGAGATGTGCACCTAGAAAAGCGCATCTGAGACATGTCAGCTCTGGAACCCTTGGCACCTGGTTCTCCACTCACTTATTGAGGTCCTCACCACATCGACCCCACCCCTACTGCCTTGAGGTAGGGAAAATGAGCCTGCTCAGCCTCAATTTCTGACTTCACAGCTCTCTCTCAGGCCTCTAAAGACCCTAGTTACGCTCCTCTGGGAATGGACCCGTGGCTCATGGATCTTGAGGCTTGCTCATACCGAGGGTCGTTCTTGCAGAGTCGCCCCAAAGTAGGGCCCCAGGGCTTGGAGAAGCATGGGCACCAAGAATGAAAGCCCAGAGCCAGACTACCAGAAACAGTTCCAGGCTGCGGTCAGCGTCATTCAGAACCTTCCTAAGAATGGTGAGGCTGCGGGGACCAGCGCTTTGGGGTTCAGGATGCTGGGGTAAGACTCTAAGAAATTAGTGAGGAAGATCCTTGCAGTGTTTTCACACAAGTTCCTACCTGGACTATCCTGATGGTCCCCGCTATCTCCTGTCCTTGTCCAGATGGATGGGACCCCTCCCCATCTCTGCCCTCTCCAGGGGTGTTCCCCCTTTCCCTCTATTCTCTTGAGCTGGAGGTGATGTTGTGTTCTCCACTTCCCAATCCTGTACTCAGGTTCTTACCGCCCGTCCTACGAAGAGATGCTGCGATTCTATAGCTACTACAAGCAAGCTACCATGGGGCCCTGCTTGGTCCCAAGGCCTGGATTCTGGGACCCCATTGGACGATATAAGTGGTGAGCTCCTCACCTGCCCATCAACTTCAGTTCAGCTGTTAACCAGCCTTTTCACAGCCCTCTACTCCTCCCCCCACACTCCAGGGATGCCTGGAACAGCCTGGGCAAGATGAGCAGGGAGGAGGCCATGTCTGCCTACATCACTGAGATGAAACTCGTAGCACAGAAGGTATGAAGGGCTGTGGCTCTCTGTCCCCAAGCTTCCAGATCAGTGGCTTGCCCCTCACCCTTCTGGTGCTGATCTCCATCATGTCTCCTACACATTGATACCAACTTGGGAATCACCACCTTCCTGTTGCCCCTGTGTCTTGCAGGGTGCAAGGTAGAAGTGTATGCCAGGGCATAGTAATGGGGAAGGGGCCCACTGAAAGAGGACAGAGGGAGCAGAGGTGGGAAGGGCCAACTCTTCTCCATGAGAGCCCCTCCCCCACAGGTGATCGACACCGTGCCACTGGGCGAGGTGGCAGAGGATATGTTTGGTTACTTCGAGCCCCTGTACCAGGTGATCCCAGACATGCCGAGGCCCCCAGAAAGCTTCCTGAGAAGGGTCACAGGTCAGATCCCGAGCATGGGAGCTCCAAAAGTTCAAGTGAACTGTCTTAGGTCTAGGCTAAGGGGGCTGGGAAGGGAGGTGCTGGACACCGAGGGCCCCAGTTGATGTCCCTTTAAGGACCCCAGCCAGTGCTCTTGATGGACTGGGTGTTCAGCAGTGTTCCTAGCTAATGGGGCTGAGGGACTTGATGTCACTTAAGTGGTACTAGCCTTTCCCCAGCCCCATCTCTGGATATTGTGTCCTAACAGGCTGGAAAGTGCAGGTGCTGAATGGTGATGATGGGGCTGTCCCTGGACCTCCCTGCCATCCCAAGCAGCCAGCATCCCCATGCCCAGGTTAGTGCTTGGGCAGGAGGCACAAAGGACTAAACCCAGGCTGGTGGTGGCCACCTCTAGGAGGGGTGGAGGAGAGCAGGCTGGGAGGCATGCCATGCTGTGTGACCTTCATGGCTCTTGCCCATGGACACTGAGCCCCCCTACATTTCCAAAGGCCAGGGGACAGGCTCTGGGATGCCTGTTCCAGGGGCTCACTCCTGGGGTCCTGGTATCTGTGGTGGGACTCCTGGTATCTTCTGAATGGGTGTCTCTGCCCAGCTCTGCACCCCTCCCTTCCCTCCAGGGCCTTCTCTCGGCAATAACCCTACCTCCCCTTACCCAGAGTCCCAGCCACCCAGAGACCTGGACTTGGAGGTTTTCTGTGATTCCCTGGAGCAGCTAGAACCTGAGTTGGTGAGACTACCCTCCATTCCCTCTCCTTCCTTACCCACTGTGCCCTGGTTCTCCACTTCCACCCCTGGACCTGTGACTCATCTCAGCAGGTTTGGGCAGAACAGAGGGGAGCAGCTGGAGGAGAGCCTGACACCAGAAACAGTCTTGAGCCCCCTGGAGAGGAAGGTGAGCTCCTGCTGTCCTTTCACCCCCTCTGCCCTTCCCCAGGGTTCTAGGGCCCCAGGCCTTCCCTTGGCTTCACTCTTAGGGCAAAGGTAAAAGTCTAGAGCAGGTCCTGGGGACAGCAGCCTCTGCCCAGCAAAGGTTGCCAAACAGCCGCAGACGCCTGCCTGGGTGGACAAACCCCTGCCCTGCCTCCTCACCTGCAGGCCACCCAAGAGTCTCTATACCCTCTGCAGGTCGCTGAGCAAGGACAGCTCTGTCACTGCCAGCTTCATGGCTTTGGGAAGTCACCAAAATTTTCTGAAATTCTCTCTTGGGAATCTCAAAAGACAATGAATTCTGCCCTATTCCCGTTTAGAATTTCCTGTGTGCCAAATCCCCAAAGGAGCATGTCCATAAATATTTCCTGTATTTCACTGAGCAAGCTGCCTTGAGGGCTAGGGGAGCGCTCTACTACTGAGCCATACCCCCAAGTCCTTCTAACTTTCAGATGACAAAATGAGACTCCTCAAAGTTAAAGATTTACCCATATTCTTCCAGCTAATCAATGGAAATTGTGGGATTCAATCCTCTCACCCGCCACAGCCCAGTACTCAGCCCTGTGGATGAGGACATTACAAGAGGCATACTTGGGACTAAGCATTCAGCTCTACTTAGACACTTTCCCAGACCTGCCCAAGTCTGCACCATAGCTGAGTCCCCTTCCCTGTGTCTCTGTGCTTTGCAGAAGGGTTGGGGGTCACCCTGCTGGGGCCCCAGGAGTTGGATACATGGCTGGTGGGGACAGTTCGGGCACTGCAGGAGAACATGCTGGATGTCCAGGGGAGGCTGCAGAGCCTGGAAAGCAAGCCCCAGCCCCCTGAGCAGGTGAGGTCCCCCTCCCTTATTTAAGAATTGGTACGAGATTGGTACCGAACTTTGTCTCTGCTCTGGGCTCCTCATCAAGCCATTTCTGTCGTTGTCACCATGCCTCCATCTGCCCACAGCTCTGTGCAAAGAATGGTGTGGCTTCTGTTGCAGGCAGGGAGGTCAGGGGGTCTAAAGTACTTCTATCCTGGAGGGAGAGTGGGAAGAGGACCCTTCCCTGCTTATCCACCTCTGCCTGAAAGAAACCCA